ACCTAATAAATCAATTAATTTCTTCAATCGAATTCGTGTAGTTTTGCCCAACTTTTATTTTTTACAACCTTAGAATGCCAATATAATGTCAGCTTTTTAAAGCCTTTCTGCTCGGTTTCCGGAGGGATAGATTTACGAATCCCTTTGGCCAAAATTTGCTCAAGAAAGGAAAGGTTAGGTGGGCACTAAAAACCAAGATCTTATGCACATATGCACAAGTGAAATGTTGCTAGGACTGAACTTATACCAACTCGTACGTCTGTGTGTTGAGTCCCTATTGAGGCGTAGGCAAGACGGCGAGGCGAACCCGAAGGTGCCGCAGAAGCAAATGATGAGAGTGACTTTTAGCGAGGCCTCATTCAATTGGTTTACAATGCAAACGGCAAGTCCTCTCTCAAATGACCATCAGTGCTTGTAAAAGCAGACAAAAATATCCCATTGTCAAATATGACAGGATGTTTCATTTTTAAGGAAAAGTTGATTGGAAAACATTCCATCATCGGTTTCAGTAGAAACAGAAGGCGAATTGACTGTCGTGGAGGCGAGACTATTGGATTGAGCGAATAAGTCCGTGTAAAGTATGGCTTTCCGCTGTGACGATGTCTGTCACGTCGAGACGAAAGCCTAGCATGGGTTCATAGGGGTCGCAAGACGGTGAGTCGGGTACTTTTTTGCACAATCCAAAAGTATTCACTCGAACACAATCCTCCTTTGGCTTGCGGTTAGATCAATTCACAGAATACTTTTAAATGAAAATCTGTATCACATCAAATCAGTAAGAGAGCTATGAAAACGGCGCTTTTTTTCATATATCCTAATATCTACTTTGTGTTTGATGGGTTTTTATAAAGTATTGTTTCATGCTCGTCTCGCTTTGAAATGAAGAGTTCAGTAAAGCCAGGTTTTGAAGATATCCTTTCAACAAAGAACTTTAGCCAGGTTGTCTGCCCAGGCAGTACAGCTCCAATGGGGTGGCAGGCGGCTTCCGTCAGGATGGTGCTCCCAAATCACATTTTTACAGTGACATTATCAATAAAGCTGACATGTGTTTGCCGTTGTGATCGATGGTGCTACTTATTTCTGGTATAAGTAGGTTTCAAGACTATAAATAATTTAAAAATAAAAGCTTAGTATGCCCAGGTCACTTAAGTTAATCAAAGTAGAGATAGTGGCAGAAAGTCATTATATTTCGTACGGTATTACCTCCCTCAAAAGGCTATTTCGTCTCAGCAGAACTGGCGTCGACTTCAAGTTCAACATCACCCTAAATTCTTTCGTTTTGAGCAGGTTTTTGAGACTACAGCTAAGTCAGATATGAACTGGTGATGAGGATCTAATAGCTCATTTTTCCCACAATGATATGAGTAGACATGACATTTTCATTGAATCTCACAGCGACTTGCTTTCCCAAAAAGCATTCTCATCCAGGCAGTAGTGGACTTCAATTTCGACCACGCCTAGGTCTTATTAAGATCCTCCGCGGGACTCGAACCATGGCAGTGAAGCGTGTAATCTCGACATATTAACCACTATGCCACATTGCCATGAATGCTTTAGGTGACAGGTCAGATGTGAGTTTCAAGGAAGGCCAAGCATTTTCTCATATCACATGCGTTGGTGGGATTGCAGATGAAGCAAGGTTGTATTTGCCACATCAATCGACTAGATCCCTTATTTTTCGTTTATAATTAGACTTTCAAAACTACCGCTAGATCAGTATTAAGTGTATACATCCTATTTTGTTTAGTGATAAGGCGAATTATAGTTGAATTTTCGCACAATGATGTGAGTTGATTGCTATAGCTAATAGAGCTTTGCTTCCTCGACAATCCCACCACGGAATGTGATATAGGCGAATGCTTGGCCTACCTTGAACTTCACATATGAATAGCGGCTAACAATTCGAGATGACACGCTTCACTGTCATGGTTCGAGTCCCGCTGGGAGGGTTAATAAGACCTAGACGAGGTCGAAGTTGCAGCTTACTCCTGCCTAGATGATAATACCTTTTGGGAAGCAAGGTTATGTGAAATTCAAAGAAAGCGTAAGTTTTACTCACTTCATTGTGTGAAAATTCAACTACTAGTTCCCTTATCACCTCAAGCGAAAGAGGGTGAATACACATAGTCTCGAAAGCCTACTTATAAACGAAATATGTCCAATTTCCATATTCAAGAAGTATCGATTTACCCGATACTTATACTGAAAACATTATGCTTATCACAGTGTGAAAATGAATCGAGGCGATGTGGTGATGCTGAAACTGGACTCCCGTCTGGTGGGTTTCCGTGCCGATTCCGGCCTCCTCATTGTGTCTCTTCGGGCAGAATCTCAATCAACTCTCATGCGACAACACGGAACTGATGCCTCCTGGCGACAATCAGAGGTCTGACAGCCGGGATTACCTGAGTTCCACCGAAAGTTGAACGTATTTTTCTACCACTAAAAGGTCTGCAGAAATCGGTCTCGCCAATACCACGCGAAGACAGGGCAGCAGTTTAGGGAACGGGATGTCCTGCCTGAGACACAAGCCCGACACACTTGCTGCACATCCACTCACACACACCTCAAATGTGCACATAAAAACACACACACATACACAAGTACACATATACCAAAATAATAAAAAACACAGATACACATTTACACTTACACATACGCATATATGCATAAATAGTCAAATAGACTTATTTACCTAAACACACGAGTATATTTATATTTATATATAAAATCAAATGCACAGGTCCATTGACGCACAACAAATCTTCAATTTCACATTTGGTTAAGTTAAACAAGGAGAGAACGAAACAAAGCCAGCCGAGGACCGCGCTTGTCGGCAGGCCTTGTTGAGAGCACCCCGATGCAGGCTACTGAAGCTGAAGCGACAAGAACACAGCTTGGTGCACCGGATGCGGGGCGAAAGTGGAGCCAAGGCTGCAACCTCGACCTGCGTGTACATGCAGGAGGGAGAGTGGGCCCTCGTTGTCCCAGTCTCCGAGGCCACGGCTCCGTCTGCTCACGAGCCATGACGGTCGACAGGGCTTCAACCGCCACTACACACCTCTGGCCCCACCTCCTTCCCCGCCAGCCCCGGCAGCCGATAGAGGTGTCACTGATCGCTTGCTTACATGTACACTGCGTGAGCTCATGTCCTTTGGGCGTCCGAGTGCATGGCCTCGTCATGACACGTCTGCCCAGTGGCTAGTTGCTACCACACTACACTACACACACACGCACACATACACACATACATATATATATATAAATATATATATATGTGTGTGTGTATGCATATATGTATGTATGCATGCAGGTGTGTATGTGTATGTATGTATGTATGTGTGAATGTATGTATGCATATATGCACCACTCACACGCACAAAAGGGCGTGTTGACGCACATAGAGGCTCTGTCAAACATAAGAAAAGGAGCACAAATGATTACTCCTCTCGATCAAATAAATAATGCTGCTTAGGGTTTCGGCGATCAAGGTTATCTTCTTATCTCGTCCGTTCTAGCGAAAACGTGTTAATACATACAAAGTGTAAGTTTGACCACTGCGGTCTGCAAAGATAGGAAATTCACAGTTCCACTTGAACGCGGGTCGGCAAGCGTTTTCACCTCTTGTACCGATAGGAGGCTATGGTCTTCACGTTGGTTGGTACCCCAATTTATGTGCGTGACCTGAATCGATGTCGAAATGGCCAAGTTTGAATCAACACTTAGGTATACACAGAAGGCCAGATTGTTTGATCAATTTCATAATCCTTTTATGCCATCTCGATTAGAACAATAGGGCTGGTGAAGCAGTCTTGTTGTCTGAGCAGGCAGTCCTCTCTTGCCGACGCATAGAACAGCCCTCCTCTTTGAGACTGGGAATTGTGGGGCATCTGTCTGGAGGCCAGAGTATCCGACCTGCGTTGGTATGAGACATTTCTAACCATCTTGGTTGGTAAGGTAGCCCTAACCACCAGACTACTAGTTTTGCCGACGTTTTTGCCAGTTTCCAGGGCAAGATTGAGCTCTCGCTAGCTGCTACGTTGCACCCAGCCGGGCTGTCTATGTATGATGGAAAGATGGGCTTTGAAGGATCCCGAAGTGATTTACTGTGGCACGACTTTATCTTTCAAAGTCAAAGGTGGCTGGAAGGAATTCATGAAGTATGCTTTTCGGAGACCAAAGCAGTCTGCTCACCTTGGAATTTTGGAAGAAGCCCTCATCGGGGTCACGAGAATTGCCATTTTGTGAAAGAGCTTTTAAATGCCCATTAACTTTGCTACTACGCATGAGAACGACGCATCAGCTTAGCTTTTACCTTCAAACTACTATTCGTGTCATACTACGACAATTTTTATAATACCATTGATGGAATATTACCAATGACTTTGTACTACTGCAGTTTTTATGCTGCTACTACTACCTCCGATATAAATGTGGTTGCTGTTGTATTTATGGCGATGATGATCATGT